ATGGCTTCCAATAAATTTAATTTTCTAATTTTTATAACTGTATGTAAAATACAATACGGGATACAAACAACATTTATGTAAAAAAATTTACGTACAGCCACAAAAAGTAAAAAATTAAATTTATTGGAAGCCATGAAGATTAACAAAGTGAGACATTCAAATGTATTTCTTAACGATCAATTAGATTTAAATACCTCTGCTTTATTGAACTTTAATTCTCACGACAACTTTAATTAAGGTTTTATGGTCATTTTTTGGTAGATACAGAAGCAGACCCGGTGTTGTCGAAACAATTGTCATGTAAAAATATATAATTTCGTGAAAATCTGAACTTTTAGTTCTTATTTTGAAATCTAATTCTGTTTCACTATCAGAGTCGTAATTAAGGATTTATGTTGTTTTGTATAGAAATGTAAGAGTCCTCCATTTTTCTAATGTATAACACTGGGACTTAAAGCAGGAGTAGCATTTTTCGCTCTGACTTTTGCTTTTATTTGGTTCCATGAATGCTCTATGGGGTTAAACATGCAATGATATGGAGGAAGATGAAAAACTGTATGCCCTGCCTGATCAGCCAAATGACTGCATACATGCTGTTTTTTAATTGCATATGAACTAGGACTTCCAAAACTTGCCCTGTTTTGTAACTAAATTCAAAATAAATATTCCTGGAATTCAGTTTTTGATTTTGGTGAGGCCATGCCTAGGTGAATACTATGGCTGCTTGAGTTATCGATTGCGATAACAATGTTATGGGAACAATCAGTTAAATTGTTTTCAAAGCAATTTTCAAAAAGTTCGGCACTTCCTTAACATTCTTTGCAGACAACAGCAAGCAGTTTGGGACAAATACGTCTTCTAACGCAGCGTGTATTATGGTGATGCATTTTCTTTTAGTTGAAGGTGATTTCGTCTCACAGTTTTGAATGGATTCAACTCATCCTTTGTATACAGTGTGATCTCTATCGAATCATGTTTCATCACGGTAAATCATGGATCTGTTGTCTAATCAATATCATATAATTTCTTGAAGATAATTAATTACATCTCCAAATGCGCAATCTGTGTTATTCCATTACTGTCTATTTGCGGTACTTAAATCCAATTTTACAAGCAACTCTACGGAGGATGGCACGGTTTATATTTAAATTGATTTCTTCTTCTAGCTTATTTTTCAATTTATCCAAGGTAGCTTTAATAGAAATAATATATTTTCCTTCTTTATATGTGTTCTTATATATTTGCCAGTAGAGAGCTTTCTTGTTTAATAATTCCTCTTCTGATTAACGTTTAATACACATTCTTCAAACCTGTTTTGCATCAAGGAAAAAAAAAAGATTATTCAACACCATAAAGGGAAAATAATGCCTGAAAATTGCTAAATGTAGTGAAACGGGCAGTATTTGTGTTCGTGGCAAAAGCTCAGATCGAATTAAAGCTGTTTCTCAAAAAGGTGTAAGGTATTTAATTAAAATATGAAAGTCGGAAAGGAGAAAAATACTCTACGAGAATTAACATCAAGGGGGTTTGAGAAACTGGGACGCATGTTTCCAGATGAAGCTGTGGCGAATATATCCACGAGAGCGGTTTTAGATTTTGCAAGGTATATTTGCGGGCTACTTTTATGCGATATAAGTGATCCATTTGTTGATTTATACAATAAGGCCGAAGAAAAATCACTGTCGACGAAAGCAAAAAAAAATCAAATCAAAATTATCAACATAAGTAATGCAAAGTTATCTTTGGCGAAGAAATATCCTATAGGAATTGTCTATATGGAACTCTAGACAAAGAATTGAGGACTTTATTGAAGGCCTGTTGCATATTCGCTTTTAACAAGTTTAACAAAGTTCTGGAGATTTTATAGGTATTTCAACATACTGCCCAAAAATGGATGGGAGAACATTCCCTTCAAGTTTTCTCACAGCCCTCTCGCAGTCCAGATCTTCTTAATCCATTAGAGAGACTTTTTTACAAAATGAAACATTGCCTAAGTAATGACGTTCAGCGGACTTTATCACAACTATGTCCTAAATTGCAACACAAATGAAATACTTTCACTCCTGAAGAGTGTGACGACTTAGTTGGTATAAAGCCTAATATAGAGATCGGGTGTTAGTCCAGCTAAAGACGACGTTTTAGTTATGTTGGAAACCACTTGCTTCAAGATTTAGTTGTCAGCATTATTGGATTATCAAACGATAAATAAATAGTATTCAACATTAAATATATAATTAAATGGTAATAATAATTCCATATATCAAAACAAAATAAAAATAAAAAATAAATAGACAAAAGAAATTCGTTAAACTGCACAAAGTAACTGCTGGTTCCAACATAGAATTAAAAAAAAAAATCAATTTGAAATAAAAAATGTTGCTCCCAAAGTTGTATAAACCAGTGATAAACGCAATTTTTATTTCGAATTTAGTGGAAGTCGAAAAAGGATCAAAATACATAAATAAATTTAGTTTAATTCACTTGAGGATTCTGAGAACTGTATCAAATAACCGCATGACATCGTAATATTTAAACCTTGCCACTCATTTTAGTAAGACAAAACACACCAAAGCAACGTCCAGATTTCATTAAATTACAAAAATTAAATAACATTACGACTGCTTCAGAAACGACAAATTTTCTCCATGGATATCAGATTTTTTTTTTAATTCTATGATTCGTTTTCGAAAACGTGTCACCAAGCAGGAAGAAATTTTGCTTTTAATATTTTCTAAAATTTCATAATCTCCAAAAACCTACGCAAATTTTAATAAAAGCGTACGGTCCAACATCCCTTTGCTAACGCGTTTTTGTCGTTTTTCTAATAATTTAGGGACGACCATGTACATGCGAGACCCTTTTCTAAATAGGGTCAAAAAACTTTGAACCGTTGTTTATAATAAAAAAGGGGTCAGCGACAGCCAGCATTTCGAGGGAATCGGCAAATGAACACTTATCTCCTCTTCTATCTTTACGTCGTTCTCCACGAATTTTGTTATTTTTCATCAACGCCCATGCTCTTGCCAGGTGTCCCACACTTTTATTTTTTCTCCCTTCCAAAAAACCCTCGCAGATACGATCTATAATACGCTTCACATAATTTCGATTTTGCGAGGGTTTGCAATAATAATTTGGGTGGTAAAGCTGATGTGTACTGCTCAAATCAAAACATTTTTCTTTAAATTGCTTGATTGTGGTTGATTAGAGCAAACACCAATATGATCTCAATATATTTCTTGATCGGTATAACAGGAATTTCACGTATTTCAACCTTTCTAATTCCAACTCCAACAAAAGATTAGTTCATCAAGATTCTTGGTGGCAGCTGTCCAACACTTAAATACTGTTTGTTCAAATGCTTGAGTTTATTAGAAAATTTCACCAGTGTGTCTCGTGTATTGAGACCACATTGGTGCACATTTGCACACAGTTTCTGAAACTGATATCATACAAAACTTCTGGATTCATTTTGCATCGAACTTGCTGACGTTTCGCCAATCATCCTGTTGGCTTCTTCAGAGCTTGACTGTAACTGTTTCAGTCAAGCTCTGAAGACGTATGTTATGGTGCATAGAGTTTAAATATCTAAGAAAATCTACTAGGGTTTCGACGTAGCATTTACATAATTTGGTTTTAGATGAAAGGTGTTCAGAGCTTTCTTCTCCAAGGCTTCTATAAATATATTCGCGTTGACTGGTGATAGTGGAGAACCCTGGAAACATATAATTAGTTGCATACTTCCCGTAGCAAGCATAAAAAGTAAAACCGTTTTGGTTATACCGTTTAATAAAAAAATAATTAAATTTTGCAGAAAAAAACGTGTCTTAGAGGCCAAAGCCCTATTGATTTGTTTGGTTTTAATTATTTGCGCATATCTGTCCTCTCCTTAAGTTGTTGAGCCCCACCACGGAAAACAACTTCTCCGGACGAACTTTGCTCACTTGTTCCAAAAAATAGCAATGCTTCCAAATGAAGTTGTTTGAAAATGCTTCAACAAAGGCATGTGAATTGACCTCATCAGTCCGGATGTCAAAGCATTAACCAACTTATGTGTGATGAGTGAGGAAGTAGCTAAATATTAAAATCCAGTATTTGTAGCTTCTAGTTACATTTAGTACATCATATAAAATAGTTCTGTTTGTGTAAAAATGAGATCTAGCGTTTTTTTTTCCTTTCACGCAATGATTGATTGATAATCCAGTTTCAGTCAAGCTTTGAAGAAGCCAACAGGATGATTGGCGAAACGTCAGCAATTTCGACTCAGCAAAAACTAAAAAAAGTATTGATTGATAATTAATTGAAGACCATAATGCAAAAAGGTGTTAACTCCCTTTTTTAGTTTTTAAATAAATTGAGCTAAAGTTTATCGCCTGAAACTTTTCATGTGACTTAATTTTAAATATTTGTAGATGTTATAATGTGCACATTGAAAAATTTTGTAGTAGGTAAAAAAAAAGTGTCAGTCAGTTGTCAGAATTATTGTTTATATATATATATATATATATATATATATATATATATATATATATATATATATATATATATATATATATATATATATATATATATATATATATATATATATATATATATATATATATATGAAAAGAGTGTTATATGTACAAAAACTATTTATTTAGCAACATTTTTGGATTCAATGACGCTTTTTTACAAAAAAAAAAACCTAAATTTAATTTTCTCCTCGTTTCAAATTATATTAGAAACCTCTGAGGTTTTCTGGGATGAAAGGAATCTGTTCCTGGGCATTGTCATTCGGATTCAGATTTAGTCAACTTTCTGTTTTTCCGTATATCAACACTTTTTCAATGCTCAGCAGCATCGAACGAATATTATATATATATATATATATATATATATATATATATATATATATATATATATATATATATATATATATATATATATATATATATATATATATATATATATAACTTTTTCATTTTCGTCTTTTTTTTTTCGATCTATAAGTCCTAGTTTTTGTGGCAATTGCTTAATATCAGTAAACTTATCGGCCATCCTTCTTATGTTAAAGGGCGTCGTTCTCCGTGCTTCAGTCATGATTAACAGGTATTGATCAACAGAGTAAATATTTTGATGTTTCCTAATCGCCTTTTCTACAGTAGCAAAATCTCTGTCAGAATCCATAAAAGTATCCCTTCAGGAAACTTGTGATCAATTTTCTTAAATCTGCCAGATTTTATCAAATAATGCCATAAGAGTCACTCCATGCTATTAGGTGATCAAAACTTCTATTTCCTTCTTTAATATTTTCGAGAAATGCTAATGTTGAACTACCTATTTCCTCAGGTCCTCGAGATCCTTCATCTTCGGTTCAAATTGAAAATACCCTTTACCGTTCTTTTGCTGTGTTAAAACTGAATGAACTCCTAGATTATAGAGCCATAAATGCCGTAAGTAAAAAGCTTTACCAGTAGAAATTTTTGGCAAAGGAAGTGTTTTCTGTAAATCAAATGTAACATAATGGATTTTATCGCTACTCATTGCAATTTGCCGATCCAATTTTAGTTATTCAAAAGCTTTTTCAAATTTGGCAACATGCTCTGCATTCCCTTCCACATCACATATTTTACAAGTATCGTTTTTGGGGAGAACCAAAGCCAGAATTAAAATCAATTTTTAAAATTTTTCTGTATGTGGCAAAAGAAACAGGAACAACGTTTTGGGCTGCTAACTGTTCTTTGTATAACTCATACATGTTTCTAATGGATAACCAGGATGAAAGACACATTCGATTTGGATTTTTATGTCTTGAATAATGGGACATCTCGGAGGGAAAAGATTTAATGTGTTCGGACACAGAATGTCGCTGTTCTTCAGAAGTTTGTGATGGCGACCCCTTTTATCGGGTTCCGAAGCTGTTCTCCCAGCAGATATTTGGTTTCTGATTGAATCGAGTTTCTTACGCCCAACGCTTGACAATGACATTACGGCTTCCTTACACACTTGTCGGCATTTACCTTCTGCTGTTCAAAAATTACCTAAATGATTTTTGAAGCTGTTTTTGAACACCAGATTGCTGCTTGACGGAAAATGGCTCCAAAACTCCAAAATGGTAAGATTACTTTTCACTGCATTTTAAATGACAAATTTCCCTGCAAGGGTACAGGGAAATTTTTCTGGAACCGGTATCCACCGGTTGCCACTATTTTGTTTCTGCTTCATTTAGTTACGTTTCCAGCACATTTTCAAGGGCCGCTTCTTCCTCAATCTCTTGTTCTTAAAAATACAAAAAAATAATTTTCTTTGGTAAATTCAAACGTAAAAATCAATACTTTACCATTACCGGCAAATTATCATTAGTAACGGCAACATCCGCGTAATGATTTTCAGATTCCAATTCCAATATTGGCGAGATGATTTTCTGAAGTCTGCACCTTGCACCTGACGTCGGTTTTTGCTTAGATTGTATTTCCCTATTAGCGGTATTACTGTCATCTAAAAATAGGTATATTATAAAAAAACATTAACGCTTGACAAAAATAATAATGTACGAACCTTCTTCTGATGGAAAAAATTCAGAGCCTGAATCTTCAAATGGATCGGGTAGTTCATAGTACAAATAATCACTTGCAACGTTTAATTGCGCAGCAAGATTACTAAATATTTTCTTTGTTCTATCTCGCATCTGCAAAATTTTATTAAAAACTCACAGTTTTCGCAATCCTTATTGCAATCAGCGGACACATTGGAAATGAAAGCATATGTAAGTTAAGTATATAAAACATAATGGTATTATCATCAACATTCAACTGAATAGGCATAAATAGGCAACATATATTTCTAAATTTCAATGCACCTTCCTAACACAACCCCGCAACACTCGAAAATAAAATTCCAACAAAACAAACACAGTAAAACCGGCAACGCTGATCTGCCGATGACTTTTTTGACCTTGAACGAAAAACTCTTAAGATGATCCCATATACAAACATAAATATTTGAGTTAACACGTTTTTACAAGATGAAATTATTTGTTTGGTAGAGATAACACTTTTAAGATTACCCGTCTACGAGAATTGGCCGCCATCTATGACTCGAAAGATTGATATGACTAACAAACAAAAAACGGAGTTAACACCTTTTTGCAAACAAAATCTAAAATAAAAAAAAATGAGTTAACACCTTTTTGCATTATGGTCTTCAATTGATTTTAAATGTTTTTCCTTCTTTGGGTCCGATGACTTTTGCCTGAACCAATTATAACTTGAGTTGTGCTTGTGTTTATTAGCGCATTGCACCGAAAAACCAGATCGATTTTTAGGATATTTCAAGTAATTCTCAAATGCTATATTTTGGGGAAGGATTAAGCCACTTTTAATCCTGCAAACCAAGACTTACATGATTTGATTTTATCTCGACTACTTTGGGGCGCCATAAAATATAAGATAGAGACAAACCGGCAAACCGCACTCTGCGAAAGCAAATTAAATTTTAACTCTAGCGTCCGTTAAAATGGTTTTCCTAAAGGGAGGTAATTTAGGGATGGTGTAATAATGTTGCCTTCAATTTAATGGTCAATATAGTTACTATGTACCAAAATTTATTACGTAGATAAATGATATAATTCAATAATTATTCAAAAATGAATTCAATATAGCTAAGTTTAGTGTTCTTAACAGTAACCATGGCGAGTTTGCCTATAAATAAGGTGAGTTGTACCAGATTCTTTCGCATTTTACTGTTGTACACACTAAGCAGTACTACCATTGAATAGCAAACAAATAATGAGAAAGTAAACGTCACGTAGATTCACCGCCAACGGACTTTGGAAAAAAGCTTTTCTGCTGGAAATGAGTTATAGGTTCACTGTTGTACAGTCAGGTTTCTAGATCAGTGCCATGTTTTTTTTTCAAATAATATCTAACAATCTTATCTTTTATTGATTATTATTAATATGGTGGATAATGCACAATTCACAGATTTTCAATGATAACATTGACGTAACTAGTAAAGCACCAGGGGAGGACGTAAGGAATTTCACCTGTCTATTTTGGCAGACATTGATGGTACGCCATTGATTTCTCTTGAAATAAAAATTATTCTTACAATCTCCAATTTGGTTGATTTTTTCAAAAAATCGAAGTACGACTACGAATTACGTAAACTCTGAGGTGTGTATCATGGTGGTAGGCTGTGTTTATATGAATTATAAATTCTGTTATCAAGGCGGTTACTTGGCAGTTATTTCGCATCAGTTTTTAAATTCAGTTCCTCGCGTGTTATTAATTTTGGAAAATAATTATTTCAAGAGCGCTTTCGTAATTGATTCATACTATATAGAAGAACATTTTCAAATGTACATGAAAGGTTCACTGAAACTCCAGAAATTGAAAGAAGCTGCTTTAAATTCTATTGATAAAAATCCTTAACTTGGTACTAGAAAAATTGTACCCATATCATATTCAACGAGTCCAAGCATTACTTTCCAGAGATTTTCCCTTGGGCGTTAATTTTTGTCAATGGCTTTCGGACAAAATTGCACATTTTTCCTTGTTTTACCAACAACAGATGAAGCTAGCTTTTCCAGAAATGCATTCAGAAATTTCCACAATAAATATTTGCCCCCCCCCCCCCGGCGAAAAACAATATCTGCGATAATCGAAAGGCGAAATTCCGTAAAAGAAAGTTGTGGTGCTATCACAGATATTTAGAAAATATATTTAATTTTGAAAACTTTCCCACCTCAACACTTCATATTAAGCTTTCTTTTTAAAATGGAACTAATCATTGACATTCGATTAGAAATCACCTCGTATATATCGCATTAGTTTCATATTCAATTTTGCGAATCTCTCTCTCAGGTCTGAGTAAGTTATCGGAGTATAGCAAAAAACATGATCTGAGATTGAAAGGTAGCAAAACTCCAGTATATTCCACGCAAAACAATTACGCAGTTACGTACGTACGTATATATATCTAGTTCATTGCTGTATGTCGTAAATTGACACAGGAATTTTGTTTGGCAGCGTAGAAATCCGTGTCAAAAAATAATATATTGCGCTTGAAACTTTATATTCCAGTAAGCATATTTTGAACTTTAAGCTACGGAAGAAACTATGAGAAACAACTGCCTTATTGTCCTCTTTTTGGTCGTTGTTTGTAACCTAAAAATATATCATCGAGTATAAGGTAAATGAATAAACTTAGCTATAATTACAAAACTTATTTGTACTTATCTTTTTCATAATATATCAATAAAAACTTCTGTGCCCAGTTATCACTCCAACATTTTTATGCTTGGTTTTACTTATAATGCTGTTAAAGCGTATAATACATTTCATAGATTTGTTCGACTAATTCAGTTATTGAACAACCAAAAAAACGACCTTCTATATTTGAATCCTCTTAGTGATTTGAACACTTTTCATTTATTTCCATATCAATTTCAGCTAAAAAAAGAACAATACGAAAGATATTATTGTCTAGTCGTTATATAGTTTCGCCATCTATTTTTCTATTTTGCGACTAGGTTAAGGTTGTGTTTATGTTTCTTATTATTATGATCCCATAAGTCAAATCCAATTTCCATTAATTAGAAATTCAGTCAAGCGCGATGCAATTGCGCCCAGAAAATTAAATGCGAGGAAGCAGAATGCATCGAAAGTCGACGGACCACTTCAATAACTAGCAAATACAAACGCGTAGACTTTCGACGTAAGGCGAGATTGCAATCAACACATCGTTCCGTTTGAGCACAACGTTTGTGCAAATTTAACCGTTAACATAGTCGCACCATATAATTTAATCACTTCGGTGCATCCAAATCTGTCTACCAAATCCCGTGTAAATTTAATAATTCACTCAGCCTTTGACAACAGCTTAGCCAACAATTCGAAGCGATTCGGAATGTGCGAGATTAATACAAAATAACCGGGCGGGGAGTTTCCTCGAAACTCTTACTAATGTGGTGTATCCATTAGGTATGCAGGCGAGTTGGTTTCTGAACTTTTACATGGAAAATAATTCCCGAAAACTATGCCCATCTGATTATCTCTCTGTCCTTTTTGAACACGTTTTACGCAAGCAGATTTTCACAAATTTAAAATGCTTTATAACAGCTGTTTCGGCAACACCATACAAAATATAACTATATTCCGACACTTATATATAAAAACAGGTAGTAATAGATTTTTAATTACAGGTATAGGATTATAAATTTAAATTTAACAACGGAGACGCATTTAAATAATAAATTCGAATATCCCATTTTTTTAATCTCCATAGCTTCCAACAAATTTAGTTTTTTTGCTTTTTGAATGATAATATAAAATATCAAAATCATCGTCAAATGCCAATGAATGGCATAGTTGGAATCCGAACTTTTATTTTTATACGCCCTTTCATGTTCGTTAATGCGTTTCTGTTTGTCCGATATTAATTTTGGGACAAGATCCACATTTCAACTTGTCGACTCCGGATTTTTGAGTTTTTCGTAATTTAGTTTTATTGTTTTTTAGAAAATGTCCTATGGTGTTTTCAGTTTAAAAAGCAATATTAATACCAAATTTAGATAGATGTTTCGACATTTTCTTGCTAGGTTCTCCTATGTAATTTATCATTTAATAAATTTTGCTTTCGGTGTTTAATATGGGATAGATAGAGTTCGGAGTTTTTTGAAACTGCTTTTTAGTTATAATCCTATGTATCAAAGACGGGTCATAACCATTTTTAAGAGCTATTTGTTTTATAACATTTAATTCTTTTTCAAAATTTTCTGTATAAAGTGGTGGATTAAGTAGTCTGTTGATAAAAACATAAAAGGCATACATTTTGTGTGTGTAAGGGTGATTTGAGTTATTATGTATTATTGTGTCTGTGTGAGGATTTATGGTAAATGGAAAAATCTAACTTGTTCTATAGTATAGTTATAGTTACATCCAGAAAGCTAAGAGAGTTACCTTGTTCCGTTTCTATGGTAAATTTTATGCGGTTATGTATCGAATTAATATGATTCAAAAAGGACTGCAGTTGTCTTTCGGTTCCAGTGAAATAAGCAAAAACATCATCTACGTATCTATACCACCAGAGAAATTCTTTACTCAGACGATGTTTATGTATGATATTTTCGAAATTGTCCATGAAAATTTCTGCAAGTAGTGGACTAAGTGGGATTCCCATAATTAAACCTTCTTTAGCAATATAAAATTGACCATTAAATTCAAAATAATTTTGGTCTAAACAAATTATTAAACTATCTAACAAGTCTTGTTTTATGATAGGTTTAACCTTAGGAGGAATTTTTATTTCTTTAACCTTGTTAATTTGTTCCAATGAATTTTCGATAGCATATCTAGGTTTAAAGGCAGTATTATATTCTAAAATTTTAATTAATCCTGTTGAAAATTTAACTGATGGTGCTGTTACAAAAGAAACCGCAGGCCTTATTGGCTGTTTGGGTAATTTCATCAAGGATATAACTTTGGAGGTTGAGGGTTCATGATTATTAGTTGGTATTTATCCTTGTCATTAAAAAGTGTTGAATCAGTAATTAAAAATCTATTACTGCCTGTTTTTATATATGTGTCGGAATATAGTCATATTTTGTATTTGATAAAGGCACAGTGTTGCCGAAACAGCTGTCATAAAGCATTAAAAACTGTAAAAGCTGAACATTTTTTGTTCTAATTTAATTTACGATTGCTCTTGTTTAAAACTATGATTTTCCGGTTTAAGGAAATAGGTTTAGCCACAGAAGACCGCACACGATATTGTTGTTAAAATCAATTTCTCATTTAATAGTTGTCTAGCTTACATATTCCACCTTCCTTCTCCCATATATTTTTTGAAAGTAGCATTGAACTGGTTATAATTGGGGATATCCTTAAATATATTTAATATTTACATAATAAAATTACATTGAGTTAAGCTTTGGAAAAATCATGTATTTGAAAGTGTTGGTAAACGCGTTTCTTAAATTTATCAACTTAAATTGATGGAGAATATTCTAGCAATCCAGAAGGTACCATGGAAGGAAGGCTTTTAAAATATCAGAAATCATAAAGAAGCTGAACTGCGCTCTAGATCATTTTTTCTTACGTTTGTATTATTCTTCTTTCAGTATTATTTTTTATTTTATTTTCTAAATTTATTTGTGTCATAGTATTAATTTTTTAACCAATAAGGACAATCCATTATTATTATAAAGTTGCCTCTTACCAAGAAGGTTAATTTTTATTAATGGCAGTAATAGTAGTAGTAGTAGTACTAATTGCGTGCAAATATTTGCTCGTCTTATAATAACAGATATAACAGTATGCCTTTAGAGAGTTATATAATGTTTTCGTCTTTTGATGATATCTCTGTTCGTTTTAATTTACTCTAATTATTTAGTTGATTTTAAGTATTACAATTTTTATCGTCCGCTTTGATTCTATAATGGAAGCTTTTTTGAATCTTTTCAATGCGTAGTGACGAATTAGATGTCAAACAAGGCCCATATACGACATCACAGTGATTAAACAAGGAGAGAACCAGAGCATCGCGTACAATTCGAGATATGCTTTTCTAAGCGAAGTTTTGTATCTAAAAGTAACTTCAATTTTTTTGCCTCGTTTTGAAGTCGAAGAGTAATATTGTTTATTTTTATCAAAATAAATAAGAACTAAAAGTTCAGATTTTCACGAAATTATATAATTTGACATGACAATTGTTTCGACAACACCGTGTCTTTATCAAAATCAAAACATACATTTGATAAAGACACGGTGTTGTCCAAACAATTGTCATGTCGTAATATATAATTTCGTGAAAATCTGAACTTTTAGGTCTTATTTATTTTGATAAATGGATTTTCAACAAGTAAAAGCCACCAGTTCAAGTTTATTTTTATGTTTACTTCAGAAGCAAGACGTTTAACATCCACCGGCAGATGGAAGATTTTTTTGGTTTCAAAAGCAAACCGTGATCTCTGGAAATTCTGTCAATTCTTTCAAGGTATTTTGGCACTCAAGCTGCAACCGAGAGGGGTCAAAAATATGGTAGAACTGCTTGTCATCCGCATATGATTGTCCTTTGGAATACTCGAGAAAATCTAATAATTTTGTTGAAAATAATAAACAGAAGAGAAGCTAAAATTTAGGCTTGAGGAACTCCACTTCTTATGTCTAAGCAAGCAGACTCGACCCCGTTCAGGATCACCTTTTGCTTTCTCCCTGTTAAGTAGTTTTTAACTAAATCTACGGATGCCTCCCCAAAACCTAAGTATTTAGGAATAGTGAGTAGAATATTGCGACTAATGGTATGACCTCTTTTTCTACTCTTTAATAATCTGCACATTTTGATCAGCCAAGCGGAGTTATTTCGACTTCTAAAACACCTCGTGACTGTAACTCAATGATTATCTCCTCGTCTTTTCGTTTCAGGACCTCCAGAATCTCATAGAAAATCACTCTGATTCTAAAATGGAAGAATCGGAGGAAGAAGGCGAGAGTTCGATGCCGTTCACGTAACAACTCGGTGTCGAGAAGCACCATGCCCCGCATAAACTTCTACCTCATAATTATGCTTGGTTTTCTAATTCCAATGTCGCGAGCCGAATGCCTCAGGTTATGCGAGTGCAAGTGGAAGAGCGGGAAAGAGTCCGTGACCTGTCACAACGCGAATTTGACGAGCTTACCCCAACGGCTCGACAGCGGTACCCAGGTGCTGGACCTAACCGGCAATAACTTCGCGTCCATAAAGCACGAGGAGTTCAGCAAGGCGGGCCTAGTGAACTTGCAGAGGATCTATTTCGCCAAATGCCGATTAAAAACGATAGAGCGGTACGCATTCAACGATCTCATCAACCTGGTAGAGTTGGACTTGAGCTATAACTATTTAACGATCGTCCCGTCTCACGCGTTCAGCTCAGTGCCGGAGTTGAGGGAGCTCAAGCTGAGCGGGAACCCGATACAAAAAATATCCAACGACGCGTTTCTGCACACGAACCAGCTGATTCGTTTGGAAATGTCGAACTGCAGAATTAGCGCGATAGACCCAGGCGCGTTTAGCGGATTGGCGAAGTCCCTCGAGTGGCTGAAACTGGACAGAAATAGGCTGGCGGACGTGGACGCCATGTCGTTCACGTCCCTGGAAAACTTGCACGGTCTTGAACTGAACGGTAACCCGTGGAACTGCTCGTGCGCGCTGCGTCCGCTGCGGGATTGGATGCTGCGCAAGAATGTGCCGTACGATATACCGCCCGTCTGTCATGCGCCGAAGAGGCTCGCTGAGAAACCGTGGGACAAGTTGGACCTAGACGAATTTGCCTGCGTTCCCGAGATTTTCGCGTACGAAAGCAAAACTCACGGCACGGAGGGCAAGAACGTGACGATGACGTGCCGCATAGAAGGCATTCCCAAGCCCAGCGTCAAGTGGTTGCTGAAGAACAAAGTGATCGCGAATCTGTCTGGTTCGTCGTACGCTAACAATAAGAAATTGTACGTCGTGAACTTGACGAATAAGTCCAGTGAGTTGACGATCTTCAGTGCGGATCTGCAAGATGCCGGTACTTACGTCTGCACCGCCGAGAACAAAGCGGGCAAGGCCGAAGCCAGTGTGACGCTGGCGGTGTCCAGGAAGAGTTCGGAGAACAGCTTGACTCACAAGATACTAGTGGCCAGTGTGTTGACGGGGTTAGTATTGGCGTGCGCTTCGTGCGTGACGGCTATGTGTTTGTGCACGTCGCGTAAAAAGCAGTTGATGAAATGGAAGAGGAGTGAGTGCGGCAGAGACGATAACTACGAGAAAATCGAACTTAATCAAAAAGTGATGGGTAACGTGAACGGTGGCGTGAAAAAAGACGATTGCGCGGCAACGGTGGGGTCGAGGAAAAACGGCGACTACAGGGTAGTTCCGGGTGGCGACACGGACCACGAAAATGAAGAGGAGGAGGAGAGTACGTTGGAAGTCGCCACGCCCAGTACGTCTAATTCGCGCAGGTGCACGGTAGAAGATTCTGTGCGTAATCCTTCTTCGCCGGATGACACGCAGCAAGACGGATTAAGCAATCAAAACAGGTAACGTATCGACGTCATATAATATACTCCAACAATCGGTCAAATCCACCCGTGGAGAAATTACCTCCACCTATTTGACGTAATAATGGGTTTTACAATTTAGATACGATAGACCTGGTTCCAAAACAATGTATTTGTCTATTCTTGAGACCAAAATCCAACTAGAGTTGTTATGGGAAACTACCTATTTATTAAGTTACAATACCAGGGTTAAATCAGACATGTTATATCATTGAGGCTCCTTTGGAAATAACCAGAAACATTTTCAAACAATCCAAACAACAAAAAATAACGCGAATTTCTAGAACGTCGGAAGATTATATTAACTTTTTAACGTCTTTCCTTGAAGATGAGATACACCCGTGATGATACCTCGAATATTATGATCAAAAAATAGTAAATATATTCTTTTGTGAAGGAAAATTTCCTCGGAGCCAAAAAATTGGAAAGATTATTCAATTACTTAAAAAGGTAGTAAAACATGGTTTTCTCGAAGTTGTTTGAGTACGCAGATTTGCAAAACCTTTTATTGTATCTTGAAAACAATAATATATTATCCTATAACCAGTTCTGTTTTCAGTCGGATAGTGGGAGATCCTTCATACAAACAGTTACTTTATGCAAGTTAATTCCTGTGTCCTGTTGGTCTATTCTGTGGCCTCAGCAGGGCAATCGATTGTGTAGATCATGACATAATGTCATGAAAAATGTCTTGCAATGGTATAAGTTGTCCTCCATTGAAATATGTTATATGTTAGCCTAATGTATAAAACAGATGGTGCATGCACTGCAATAAAGTCGCAGTCATCCATAGTAACAATGGGTGTCACCCAAGACTTTGAATTGGGACCAGTACCTGACGCTTTAAAGAGTTCGCTTGGCTCGAACGACTTCGAGAAAACAGCGTTTAGAAAATTTGCTCGACTCGACGATATCTATGAAGAGTAGGTGTAACTTTGTTATGAGTGAGGTGAACTCTTGGTTTAATGATAATAAGTTATACCTTAATCCATTAATAAGACTCCATCGTAGTCAAAAGATACATGATTTTAAGTTTCTTGGAATACTCATAGATAAAAACATGAATTTTAAAACTCATAGCTCTTCTTTGGTATCGGTATGGTATATTTTAACAGAATCACAAATATTAAGTGTTTATTAAGGTCATATTGAGGGTATAACATTGTGGGAATGGTTGACTAGTCCGACAAATGTGTTGGTGGTTCAAAAAATGGCGATAAGATGTATGGCCGGTATTTCCAAATCAACTTCTAGTAAAACTTATTTTAAAAAAGTTAATAAGATCCCTCGAGTTATTAAGGCCCACCAGAAACACAAAAACGTTGCAAAAAAGATTTATTCAAATTAAAGCACCAAACTGGTATTTTTATTTAAAACAGTTCTCTTGTAAGAACACATAGAAAAATAAAATGTAAAAAAATATAAAACAGTTTTTCTTTAAAAAAGAACTTAAACTTAAACCCGTTATTGAACTTTTTTTTCAACCATAGAAGGTAATAAGGTCCCCTTTATTTTTGTACGAACTGGAAGATGATCTGATTTGAATGATTTTTTTAGACGTTTCTCATTTGAAATCGAACAAAAAATACCTGTTGGGCCCTGAAGTTCAAAGATTTCTTTATGTTGATTATGTTTCCCAGCTACCGGTATCATATCAGGTGTGACAATAATTTCCGAGAAACTGTTTTCTTTAGAGAGAGTAACCCCATTTGTTATACGACTCTTTAGAACAGCAATAGGCACATCATTATCTGAGTTAGTTGAACTGCTTCTTGTTGTGTGGGAACACTTGGCACATATGCGTGGTCAGGAATTACACTTTTATCAAATGAATAATGGGTAATATTATCGATAGTCATACATCTCCCCCAAACAGGCGTAATAACTTCGGAAAATCTTTCTTTGTTCATTTTCCTATCTGAGAATTTGTTCGAAAGAACGGAACACGCTTTTGTCAAGAGGTTGGAGTTTATGTGTGGTATCTGAAGTAAGGTATAATAAGTGAATTTCCAGTTGGTCGGCAGCTCCAACAATTGAAATTTCGAGATATAACGCAGCACTTTAAATATGAAGAGAAACTTGGGAAAATAACTGAGCCATTCAATAATTAAGGTAGTGGTCATGCTACTTTTTGGAAACATCTTTACTTGAGATCTCGGAGGTAATCCGTCACTAAAAGTTGGTTTCAGCCTTTGCCCTTTAAAAAATATCATGGGTGGGATAGTATTTCTTAATGCGTTTACGCAGGTAACAATCGTATAATTTTCAGCGTGTTCTGGAGCAACCAGATGGACTCCCTTGTTCTTTTGATAATGCAAAGTTAGTATGCATCCCTTTTCATTGATGTTTTATATCTTTGTCCGTTGATGTTTGAAGCCATATTTTTCAAGAACATTATCAAGTTTTTCAAAATAGTCGTTAACAATGAACGGATTAAGCTTTGCCGCCCAGCAGGATTCATCGACTGGACCTTTCGTTGAGACAAGGAAATGCTTTATACAAGTCACATCCAGAATTTTTTCTCATTATGGAAAGGACTAGAAATGAGTTGGTTTTCAAGATACTTCAATACACTTCGTCGTAGTACCTTTGGTGTCAGGAAAAAGCCGATGTCAGAAAATTCAATGATTTTCCGAACTAAATCAATTTCTTGTGCTTCATTCAAGGTCGGCCTTGCCCCCAAAATTCTTTTAACAGGTCCAGCTTCCAAATGGTTTCTTATGGTGCGATGTGGTATACCACATCTTGTTTCCACACTGGGATTTCCCTTGACGTAGAAGCACATGTTCTGCGTCCAATTGGCCCTCGAGCCGCGACATTTCTTGGGTATTAAATTTAGGTAACAGACCAACACGTAGAGGGCAGCATAATACTTATAAATTCATTCTTATTGTTAAATGAGTGTATGGGCCTTATTACCTGCGCGGGTCTTATTATCCACAGGATTTTAGTTTAACATTGTATAGTCTATATGAGTTTGAAATTTGTGTTTATGTGTTTCAAAATGAATCAGGTTTTGTCTTGAACAGTAATTTTCAGTCGGTGAATACAAGATCTAAAGACAATTTTAGAGTTCATCAATCAATCAAAAGTGTAAGTGATGTGTGACTTTTTACCTCTTACAGAAAGAAATAAAAATGTGTGATATCTTGTGATTAAATGCCTGTACTCAGTAGAAGAGTACCTTAGTTAATCTTTTTCATTCCTTCTTTATGGATTACTGTTTGTAGTCTTGCATTATGGGTAATTTTATTTTATTTTACAATTTCCTATGCAAACAATTTTATTTGGCGATTTGAGAAATAAAGATTTATTTTTTGAGGAAGAAATGCAGAACCGTCGTCGACATATCTTCAGGTGTAACCAGCAGTGTTTGCTTATCTTTGATCCCGCCTTGTTCGTTTTTGTCTTTCAAGTTCGTCTCTTTCTTTTTCGCTCAAAATTCTTCTTACTATATCTTTCACAAGTCACCAATTTTCTACGCTTTCCACTGAGTTTTTAGAGTCTCATTTTGCCACCTTTGTTGCCAGATGTCCAATGCATTTTCACGTGCCGTAGCCTTTTCGTTTTGTTGGTGTCCGCCTTCGTGTTTATAGATGAGCTTTCGTTTATTGACCATCAAGTCAATTCGTAACACTCCTGCAACAACCTGCAGTGCTTTTCGGGATACAGTTTTGTAAGCTGATATCACATACAAAAGTATTTTCTCTTTTGTCATTTCTACCAGACATTTGTATTTCTTGATCGTTAGCACTTCACTCCAAACCAGAGCACCATATAGAATAATGTGGTGCATAGCACTGCACAGTACTGTACTTTTTTTGCTGTCGGTTCCCCCTACGTGAGGCATAATTCTGGCTAAGCTCGATATTTTTGCTTCTGCTTTCGCAGTTACACAGTCAATGTGTTTTCTGAAACTTCCTCTGGTATTTATGGTTATGGAGTGTGGGACTCCCGGAGCGTGGTGCAATCCACTAAAACACCCCCAATCTACAGCATCGGGTGCTAAAGTCCTTAGCTGTTAATTTTTATTTCAGATTCCAATTGTGTTATCCCTCATTTGTAGCGTATTTTTTTTTCTTTTCTTTTTTCTCGATTTTTTTTTCTCGATCTTTTTAAATATATCAATGTTCTTTAAATATGCCGTTTTGTTTGTAATCTGTTCTTTTTTCAAATTGTCTTCAAATAATGGAACAACCCGCGCTCTGGACCATTGGATGTTGTGTTATTTTGGTCCACACATGTTCTGCGATACCTGTTTTTGCGTTTCACCCTTCGTTGTATGTTTCTTATGTTATTCATCTCTTATTTTTAGAGGTCGTTTGGTTTCGCCAATATATGACTCTCCGCATTCACAGGGTATCTGGTAGATACACTCTTTCTCTTATTATTATTATTATTATTAAAAAAATCCACCCGCGGCAATTCAGAACCCCTTTAGTTGGTAAAAAAATTTCATCGTTTTTAACTCATAGTAAGAGCCCTACGTAGCTGACAACATCGACAGTTTCACGTTTATTTAGTAATTTTATTTTTTTCTAGAGACAATATCAAGAGGGCCTACAGTTCGACGTTTGGTACATATAAACATCCGAAGAGTGTCGTCGTCTCGGTGAACACGACCAGCACATCTTACGGCACGAAAAGCAGTCACGAGCTTCCAGCGGTTTTGGAAAATGACCGTCCGGTTCCCGACGTCATCGATCATAACTATTCCCTCCTTGGTAAAACGATCAGCAACCGGAGTGGGACTCTAAGCGAGAACGGCAGTTACGCCGACATAAACGAACTTTTTTGCACTTTGCCCAGAAAAAAACACTCGAAACTGTATAAGAGCACGGACAGTCAGTCGCCTCTGCTGACGGATAGCAGATACGGAAGCAGTGGCGGCGAGAGCGCCAGCAGCTCGGGCAATTGTAGCAGACGAATGTCGATCGAGTCCCAGAGATATCCCGGGACGACAAATTTAAATCGGAACAGGGTAAACAAAATATCGAACAGTTTCTTAAATTTAGCGAGAGACGAGAAATTGAACGCCACTCCTTTGTTGGACGTTAACAGTTTAGAAAGCCGGGTTTTGTACAAAAAGGAATCGGATGTTTCCGCTTACTGTTCCGGTTCGAGTTACGAGTATCACGCGACTCAATTGGAACGTTTCCTCGAGGAATATCGAACGCTGCAGAAACAGCTGACGATAATGAAAGAGACCTGCGACAACTTATGTCAGGAACGGGGAGTGTCTCCCGCTTCCGCGGGCCGCGCCAATTTAAACGTCGTATCGCCCAATTCGATCGAAGATTCGGCCGATTTTAAAAAGTTCGAGAACGAATTAACCAAATATCTGCTTACCAAAAGCTGCTCGACTAAAAACTTCGGCGCAGGCCTGGCGCACAACTAAACGGGTGCCATTTTTGATGGTTTTCTGGCTCACCTTACTGTCTGGGTACGGTTTTTACATAGGATCCAGTGGCGTAGTCAGTTTTCTTCTGAAACACACTTGTATATGTCTATTAATAATTTTGTTGGGCTTGTCGTTAGCTTCATATCTCTTCTTTGTTTTCTATGAGTGGGGCATCGAAAATAAACAAATGACCTATTTTTCTGCAAGAAGTTGTCCGTTGATAATATGATAATAATAGAATATAATATGGAGGGTGTCCCGAAATTAAACATGAATATTTGAACCACGTATTCTGTGAACCCAAATAAGGATAAAAGTTCATATCAACTAGGGTTCAAAACGTCCTAGTTTTTAACGTACAGGGTATTAAATTTGAAGAAGTGATGGCGATTTTTGTAAATATTTTCGAGACACATAAATACTTTTAAATAAAATTTGAGGCTCTATTTAACCAACTAAAACTTAGTATTGGATTGGCTTCAGGGGTGGGTAACACAGGGGAGGCGTGGGAAAATATTGGACTGCAGAAGTTGAAAATCTTCTACGTAAATAAGGTACCCCTGTCGCACTTCGCTAGATCATACCGTTTTCGAGGACAATGCTTTTGAAAATAGAGGCGCAAATAATCATTAGTAAGCTTTTTAAGTTAATGACGCGTTTCATTTGTTTGTGTCTCTAGATAAATCAAAATTAAATATCAATTATTGGAGAGCTTTCAATTTTTCTCATTGTTGGTAGAAAGTAGTTTTTTTTTCTACTCCCGTCTGTAAAATACGTAATTACACTCCGATCTAGCGTGTGGGAAGCGTCACTTTACCACGTCAGTTTCGTTTCCCACGGATCTGAGCCACTTCGGACATTTCCGGAATTTTACCGCACGGGTTTGGCAGCAATCGGACGTTTTCGGAGATATTTCCCACGCTTTGAATTTTGACGTTTGTCAATTCTGACGGCCATGTCAGTGAATATATATTTCAACTGTATCCAAAAACTGACGGTATAGTATGCAACACGTTCGGTAAACTTTTTAAGTCACTCGTTTATTACACACTCGCTCCGCTCGTGTCAAATAAACTCGTGAGTCAAATGCCGTTTACCGCCCGTGTTGCATAATATACTATTACTTGGATTGTTCTCATAAATCCTTTTATTAACGAAAGACCAATCAAACTATCAACTGGAAAGCTAATTATTCTAATAAAAATTATAAATTTTATTCATTTTGTGTTAAGCTTTGCTGGATATTCAATCGGACCGAAAAGTGTGGCGTTTAATATGCCTTCCCATACATTAACAGAAACTCTATTGTGAAAACTTCCACGTCGCACAACCCGAGTGAATAGAAATGGTGATTGTGAATATCTAAAACACAACCTCTTGTAATAAAAGGAACGAGTTCCTCGTGGTTTCTTATCAACTAGCTAAACTCTATTCTTGGCAAAAAGTCCTGGGTTCAAAGGGCTTGGAGACGCTGGTAATTATGGGAATGAAAACAAATTGTTGTCTGACTAACAATCATAATAAGCAATTTTTTAAGACATTAAAAAAAATACCTTAAAGGCTAATTTTCACCTAATCGTCACCGTTGCGTCAGTTGCGGTTCTTTAAAAACATGTTAATTTAATTAAACCCAAAACGTTAAAAACTTATGTGAACGGTATCATTTAATTCATTAATTATCATTCTGAAGCGCCGCGCCGGATTTCCTGGCGAAGCTAATTTGGAAATTAGAATTAATGCTAACGCATTAAGAGTGAGTGAATTTTGAAAAGATAAGTTAGGTTAGGAAATGATCCACGTTCAACTAAATGCCTATGAGTATTAAAAAAAAACTCTTCTATGATACTCTTCTACCGCCTCCCCAGCTCTGCTACTGCAAAAGCCGTATACAAAATGAACATCTGCTAATTCTCTATTTGAAAACAACTTATCAGATTCAAATGGCTAATTTTTCATCAACAATCAACCTTCTTCAAAATATAAAGTTTATAATTTTTATTACAATAATTAGCTTTACATCTGACAGTTTCATTTGTCTTTCGTTAATAAATGAATTTATAAGAACAATCCAAGTGAAAAACTGCTTTGAAAGCTGTCGAATAATTGATATTTAATTTTAATTTAACCAGCAACACGAAAAAATGAAACGCGTCATTAACTCCCAAGACCTACTAATGACTATCTGCACCTCGACAAAAACTTTGGGGCAAATTGTTCAAGACAATCCAATACTACGTTTTAGTTCGTTAAATTCGTATGTTAAATCTAAGACTTGTTGGACCCTAGTTTATATAAAGTTTTATCCTTATTTTGGGTCACAGAATAATTGGTCAAAATATTGACGTCTAATTTCGGTACACCCTGTATATATATGGTGTTTTACAGTTGATGGTACCTTAGATATAAGCGGTAAAATATTTTTAACGCTGGTAGGGACACCATGTATATTTCCGATCTACCGTGATTATATTTTGAACGGTCTCTTCTTTCTTTTCTCTCTAACTACCAAAACGCAGTTTCAATTAAATTTTTAATATTGCGACACTCTAGCCTGTAGACAATTAAATTTTAGCATATAGCTTAGGGAGATGCTGTACATTATTTCTTAATTTCAAAATTAGTCCGGCATTATAGATAGTTGGTCAAAACTAATGATTTGCATGCGAAATACCGAAATGGAAAAAAGTGCTTTTTTTTAATAGAACCACCTGTTAATTTTTCAAAGAAACTTCCACAGGCTACTGCAATTCTCTTTACAAAACTTCTGGATTCCTCCTCCATCGGTTGTTGTTGAATCGAACTTACTGACGTTTCGCTAATCATCCTGTTAACTTCAGAGTTTAACTGGAATTGGCTCGCATTCTACTCTGTACCTGCTTAAATATACAGCAGAGAAAGACCTCGTTGTTTTTGCTGCATATTCATAGAATGCAGTAAAATTCAGTTTGAGATATCAGGAGTTGTATCGATAAAATCGATTTAAAATGGAAGAAAATTGCTCTTTTAATGAATTCGTTCATTATACTAGGACAATGCACGCATAGTATACCCAAAATACGCAGAACATTCAATGAAACGAATCTTGATTTAGAACACACGAACAAGAGAAAGTTTGCCAGAATGATTATGAATGAATTATATATAAAATATTGTTCCTTTTTCTATATGCAATTTTTTTTTAAGTACCTAATATTTGGTTAGTTCTCAATTCTTGCAACTGTTCTGGTTGTAATGTGGTATATTGTATGTATAATAAACAAATTCATTAGAACAGCATTTCGAACCGATTCTATAGACAAAATTTGCACCGCAATCTTTATTGAATTGTGAACACCTAAAAGACGAATTATACCAAAATAATCTAGTTTTCAACATGATTTTATTTCGAGAAACGATTTAGGTATGGAGACATGATACATCATGCGAAAGGGAATTTAAATTGCTCTTCGAATATGCGATAATATACCATTTTTTAAAAATGTGCTTTTCACCCTTTTTGGATCTGGTAGGCAAATCTCTAGTTTTGACCAACCCTGTATAATGTAGAACTAATTTAGCTATTAATAAATTTAGAATGTGGAATGTAGAAAAAAAAATTATTGCAGGTATGTTTTGGTCGTAAAAATGAAGAAAATAATTATTTCCTCGAAAATCTGTGAAGATAGGTATATGAATGTATTATTCGCAAATATGGACATGGTATCCCATTTAAAGCTTCAATGTTGATGCCACTTTTTCGAAGAAGCGGCAACGTTGCAACTTTAAAAATAATTAAAGAGCATCGCCGCTTATGGAACTAACCAAAACAATCCAATGAACCGTTCGGCGTACACTTCTGAGGTACCATCAACCGTGATACACCACGTATTGGATTGACGGTGGTAAACAATGAGTCAGTAGAACTACTAAGAGATTATGGAACCTCCTTTGTATTTTTTTAATTGATTTACACAAAGTATTGGGCAGATGTATTAGTTCGCGTTATCAAGTGCGGATAATTAAAGAGTCGAAATGTCATTTTTTGATATATTGACATTTTGCTTTAGAATTGTCGTACGTGCACCGTGTGAAAAGAAATATGTGCCTATCGTAATAATTGACTAATCTTACTTTACGAACACTGGCGATTAATGACCATTGTTGTAAATATGAACAATTTGATTATCTCAAGAACGTAATTTGGCATTTTCGTGCCTGAATAAATCTAAAGCTACGAGGCTTACATACTAGAACACAGGGTTCACCCACGTTAGTGTGCTCTATTAAAGGTTGCCAGATTGTAGGTATTTCCACGCTCAGATTGCTAAAGATGTTTCTTTTTATTTTCATGAATATAGCTTTTTCCATAGCTTTTGTGGAAAACCGGAGCCTCGGAGCATTTGGTCTTGTGTTGTTTGGTCCTTACATATCCGCCAATTTTAACGTTTAACGTTTTGTTTCACCAATACATTTGAGGGTAAATACACATTTTTGTCGTGAATCAATGTTTCTGGCGTTGTTCTTGTAAGTATGCTCCTTAATGTCGTCTTAGACTTGAATGCAGTATTAACTTTGTTTCACCAAGAGAAAGAGTGTATCTACTTCACATTGTTGTGAATGGTTTGTCAATATATTTTCGCGTGTAGCCATTATGAAGAAGGTTCTTCATAATACTGCTTAATTGTACGTGAAGTGATTCTGAGAAAGGAATTTTACCTATCTATCGGCTTCATTCCAGATGATGACGATATCGTGAATATATTGAAGCTAGACCTTAGGTTTAACAATTGCCGTATCTATAGCATGAGTTTAGAACCATTCCGTGTATATCTTCGCTACCACCCTGACTCTCGCCAGCAGTAACGAAGTTCTGTTTGGAAGTGTTGAATCATTCTTCAATCTGGCCTAGACAATGTCCAAAAATTCCTCCAAGGATACGTTGGTGCGTAAACTTGTCGGAAGGACATAATCTTATGTTTTTCAAAATATCTACCAGAGCTTTTTTACAAATGAAGGAGTTTTTCCCACAAGTGGCTGGACGATTTGAAGGAGAAATCAACTTGAGCTGAGGAATCTCATCGAACTGGTGAGGTCTGAGTGGTATATTATCTTTGGAAATATCCCTAGCATCCCATGAGCGAAAATACCTACAATCTGGCAACCCTGGCGCACGAATGTTGTCCTAGCGGACACCACCGCTACGGATGAACGTATATTGCGATATCGCGTAGTAATCCATCTGCCTGAAACATTGTGTAAATAAAAAATAAAGACAATGGACGTTTGACAATCTGTTAGTATTTCTGTCATATGTTAGTAGACAACATAATTATAAAATTAATAATATAGATAACATAAAATTTTAACACAAAGAAATATTCCTTGAAATTTGACATTGAAATCAAACAGATCTTACACA